TTCCATCTATTTTACAGGAGTGGTAGGATCACATTATATACGTCTGGATTCCGCAATGATGACAAATCAGTGTTATTGAAGATAATAGGTGGAAGGTGATATTTTAGCCAGGATATCATAAAATCTCTTCTTGAATTTGAGTTAGAGGCTCTGTTTAGTGGTACATTACAGTAGGGAGCATTAGATTTTCCTTTATGGGGTGTCGAAAAGGAAGTGGAAGCCCCAGATTCGGTATTTTTTGTTTCTCGTATTATTCTTCTGACACTACTTTCCGATACACCTGTTGCTTTTGCTACTTCCACTCCTATGTCCCTCACTGTAATTGTTGGCCCATCGTCTTTCATATACTTATATATACATTACTAACAATTTCTCTTGATTGTGAATGCAACATTTGTCAACTCAATTTACTTCGTGTAGGTGGCATGTTAAAGGAGATAGAAAAATGTACAAATATACAATAAACAAGAAAATAAAATAAACAATAAAATAAAATATTAATACAGTAAATAGTAATACACTCAAATACGACTCCAAGAGTCAAAACTTTTTAACTTGACTGTACAAGGAAGAATGCTTTTAACTGAACTTGAGACGTCTGCTCGCACTGACAACAAATGAATGACTAATCACAACACCCCTCAACTTTCACGAATGGACCTGCCCATCCACTGCGCAGCTTTTCCTGGACTGTCACTTCTAAATACCTGGGCTGTAAAGGGCGGCCGTCGCGTAAGGCTAACAAACTTACCGCCGTCTGTGAGCCGATTGTAGAGACAAAATGTGAGACCCTCGACGTCTCACTACCATATGGGCTTCCAGGACCTGTTACAGGGATAGCTATAATGGGAAGTTTTGTTACAATGTGTGGATTAATTCGGTTTTAGCTGAAATCGGGCCAAAATTACTGACATTTGACACGAGGACACACGCGTATTTTGTTAGTACCTGTCTCTGTCCCCTACTCCACTGACAAAAGTACACTGAAGCTGCCATGGTCAACACACAGCAGTGCCACTGTCTGATATCTGTTCCGAAGTGAAACATCTACCGTTTCTAAGTTAATTTCGTCATGGAATTGTTAATATGACTTTAACATGCAAACGATTTCCTATAAGGACCCTCACTCACAGGTACTAGGGAACTATTGAAACCAAACAGAAACCAGTCATGCTGGGTGACAGGAACACTTACAGAACACTGTCACCTGAAAGGACAACTTTTCAAATTGTGATTGGCCAACAATTGTACCTATGAAAGTTGCCTAGAAAAAGGTTAATCAGCCACATATATCCCGTGTGATTGTGAGGCTGCACCACACTTAAGACTTCGTCACCTGGGGCACTCTATGGCCAGGCGACTACCAACACGCCCCTTTCTTTGTGAAATAAGGAAAGTATAGTTGAGAGTATTGGTTCTGGAAAATGAATACGTACGTGTATATGTCGACACTAATTCGAGGTATCTTCTGAGGTTATTCTAGTTTCCATGTATTGATTTTGAATTTCTAAACAAACTTCTGTCTATTCCTATCATGTCTTCCAATTGATGAATATCGAATTAATCGTTATGTCCTACTGAAGAAGGTGCAACATTCGAACGTGCTGTCATAGTGTCTTGAGCGGTTCGTCCTAGAGAGGAAAATGTCGGGTCAACAGTATTCATTTTAGAAAACAAAAGAATGTACAGTTAAATGTAACATTTTTAAACGTGCCGAAGGTACACACGCGAATCAGTCCACAAATACAGGAAATATCTTGGCCAGCTGACCAATTATCAACTGCTTAAGGAAGACACTATGCCTAGGATTTCTTACAGTAGCATAAATATACTGGAGCCTGGATAGCGCAGTCAGTATAGAGACTGGATACGGGCTGGATGACCGAGGGGTCGGAGCTCGAATCCCGGTAGGCTCAAGAATTGTCTCTTCTCCACGTCGTCCAGACCGGCTCTGGGGTCCACCCAACCTCCTATCCAATGGGTACCGGGGGACCTTTCCCCGGGGGTAAAGCGGCAGGGGCTTGAAGCTGACCACTCACCTCCAACTAGTGCCGAGGTCAAGACAATGTGGATCTATACGTCCACTCCTCCATACGCCTTCATGGCCTAGTGCCTATTAATTAAGCATAGGGACAACTTCACCTTAGCATAAATATACACCATATGAAAATGTTTGTTTACTAATACAAGTTACAGATATCAATATTGCATATGCTATGTTCTAGTTTTTGTAGGTTCGAAATTCGTATAACGAAATCTGTTTGAACTGCAAGTAACGGAACTGTTATAGCTAAATGAAATATAGAGAAAAATTAAATTCGCCCGGCAGCTTATACTGCAGGCCCCCCACATGACTCTCCAGTAACAGAACCCGAATGTTCAATACGCAAAACCAAAGACCCCCAACGGGCAAGATCAAGAGTCAGTTACGTACACCAACCATTCACAAAATCTAAATGTTATCCTTGCAACTATTCGGTTGTCCACATAGTTTATCCATCAAAATGTTGCATATATTCGTCTTCCCACTCAAGCTAAATGCCAAGCCTTTTGCAGAGACCTCCAAAACTTCACTATCCTAGCTACACTATGGAAAATTTAACTGAATCCGGGAAGTGATCTGAGAGATGAAGCACACAGACATACAACAACAACAAAAAAAAACCTCCGTCATTTTAGTCCTCCAGCGAACTATACCGACCGAGCGACCGCCGCTTGTCGGCGAAGTTGGTGCCAACTTTTGCGGATAGAGTGTGTCGCGTGGTCAGCGCAACGAATCCCCACAGCCATTAATTTCGGTTTTCTAGACCGGAGCCGCTATTTCCTTGAAATATCTCCTCAATTATCATCACGAGGCTGAGTGGACCCCGTTCCAGACCCACTACCTCTCAGAAGAAATCTAGTAGCGCCAGGAATCGAACCCGGACCTCTGGATCTGTAGCCAGGAACGCTGACCACTGAACCACAGAAGCATACATACATAAGGACTAAAATCTGTTCTCGGTATATGCACTTTGCGTGAAGATCGCACAGAAAAAAAAAATTGCTTTTAACCGACGAGTTGTGTGTCGAAGGCTCAACACTGACTTCCCGTTGTACCATGTGTGTCTGTTTGCAGTACGTAAGAAATATGCATGACTTTATTTTGCCAGATGGTGATAATTGATATGTTACCATAAAAGTAAACACCACGCCCAACACAGGCGAGTCGGCCACCAGTGGTCCCACATGCCTCGAGCTTTACGAGAAGCATACATCATCCTAACCCGTTAGCACTTGCTTCATAGAACAGACTCACTCTTGGAGAAGCTAGTCAAGAAGTTTCAAACTTTTGCAGGACCCACTTGTTCGTTACCGTATTCACAAATCAAATGTATGGTCCTTACACCGAGTCAGATGAACCCAGTCCATACCTAACCTATATTTCCATCTATGCCTAGGTCTTCCAATTGGTTTCTTCCTATCCGGTTTTCCGACTAATATTCTATGCGCATTTTTCATTTCATGCACGCTACATGCCCCATCTGTCTCTCCCTCCTTGATTGACTTTGCCAGTTCTCGTGCTACTGGTTCTGATTAACCGGAACTACAAAGACTACTGACATTTCAAGCTCCGAATCTGATGCCCTCTTTCCGTTGCATAGGTCCGAGGAATCTGCCCAAGTCCGTGGCCATGTCTTAGATTTTGCAGTATGCTGCACTTTTATGGTTAGATATTACCTCCTGACCCACTCCCAAATTCGAGGACCTCTCCTTGTCGTCTGTCCGTGACTGCTTATACAGTATATTTGCGTCTATACTTTATATCTCTCCCACCCGCAACACGAGGACGCAACATGTCGTGGTCAAAATTTGCTACAGGCAGCTGCACGTGGACCCACACTGTTTCCATACATTAGGAACGGTCTTCGGTGTACAGTACATACACGTACAGTCGGCATTTAGACGTTCTTATAACCACATGAACTGACCGCTTCACGGCACAGAACTTTGTATGTTCGACCCTTTCTCCGACAAGACGGACATCACTGAAGAAGACTGAGGTAAATATATTATGTTCGGTACAGGGTATGCTGCGCATTACAACCCTCATCCTGTTAATTTACAGCACTAGGGGACTGTCTTCAAACATATTAGAGAATAGACAACGGTTTAATTATTCTCGCTTAATCTACATACGATAAAATCCACTAATTCTAGCTCTTTTTCTGTATCCTGATAATTTGCGTTTGTGTAGCCAGAAACATAACCACCATCTATAACACTGCGTCTATAGAACAATAGGATCAAATTTACGACGGTGTTTCTAGAAACGTACTACATACACGCGAGGGTCACCTGTGCTTATAAGAATTTGTAACAAAGTCAGTGTCACCTGATGGTAGTCCTCAGTTCTTGGTCAGGTAATAATTTTACTGGAAGAAGAAGAAATAGATGGTCGTGGCCTACTTAAATGTTTCACGACATCTCCTTAGTAGGCTTTCATAAAATCTTCAAACAAACTGGACGTTAAGAAGTCTCTTAAAGCCTCCATTGCTCTAACGACCTTATTTTCACATGCAGTGCTCACGAGGGCAGGCTGCCTCAAACATGTGCAAACGGTAAATGACGTTCACAAAGCTACGTGTCAAGCAGCTGTACTGTCCCGGAATGAAGAAAACCACGAAAAGCTTAATCAGAATAGTCGATCTTCCGACCGGAACTGGAAGTGAGAACCTGTCGTAAGAAGGTGAGTCGCATTACTTCCGGGCTGCCCACTTTGTTTCTCGACTCCGTACCTACTGCAGCACTGAGGGCAACAGCGATTAAGATTAAAACGTATTTTGTCCTGAGAAACAACAGACTCGAAGTGATCTTTAACTCGGGTCCGCCGGTTGCAGTCGCCGTGGAAGAGGATCGTGCTGTATCGTATCTGACCGGAGCCTCGCCGATCGGCCGGTCGAAATCAAACCGCCGGCTAATAATGACCAAGGTTACACTGCTAGCGCCTCTGAGCGGAAGCATATCCCACTGTTTTTTGTTTTTTTTAGTGGGCGTGAAAGCCGTGATCAAGCTGTGCACATTTTGTTACAGCAGGCGCTGTTAAAAGAAACTTAACTGAGACAGTGACTTCGACCTACTGGTACGCGACACTTGGTCGGTTACAAGCCGGCCCGTTCCGCTCCCAGTGTGACTACGGTGACTACAGCCTTACAAATCATTATCGTTACGATAGAATGACATCTCTCATTGAAAGGAGAGCGATCGGAGGCTATTCTAATTCACAGACATTGCCTAAGAGCACACCTACGTCTTTCATACCAGGAACACGGTTCGATAAGATAAAGTAAAGCAAACTAAGGGACGATTAGACGCGCTCAGTATCCAGGTTGCCGCTGCGGAAGAGGGATGCCGGTATGTCGGTGAGTGTGTAGCATCGCTCCATCAGTGCCGTGTGACCGGTCTTCGGTCTAGCCCTTCGTGGAATGAGGTTGTAGTCGCGCTGAGGGATAGGAAGGAAATTGCGCGGGAGCATCAAAGTGAAGTACATGGTGTTTGTTCCAGTCAGGCGGTCTAGGGCGGCGCCCGCCCATCGCTTCTTTGAAAGAAGTGATGTTGAAGCAGTAGGCAGTTAATAAGACAACTAAGGACTCTGTTTTAAAGTACTTGTTATGATATTAAATTTGAGAGTCACTCTTCTACCCTGAAGACGAAGGCATCAGTTTCCTTCGAAATCTTGCTACCTTCTTTCGAACTTACAGGGCTTCTTATTCTGGAAGACTGTGATCTTAATTCATTTATTGGTTACTTTAAGAGGCATTATTTAATTTCTGTAATACAATATCACTTTCACAAAGTTGCTTTAAAGGCAACTTTTAAAAGTGTTTTTACTAACGGGTGTACATACATCGAAAATACTGGATGAATAAATGCGGTAAAATCTCGGGCTATCAGCATTGTCAATGTTGAGTTAAAAGCATCGTCTCGGAGATCTCAATGTCCATCATCAAGGTAGACCTTGCATCAGTGATATAACGTATATAGGCCCATATCAGCGATGCACTGTCATTCATCACATCAACCCCGGGAATGGAATACGGCGATCTCCGAAACGTTGGTTTTTAACTCATCATCGACATGGCTGAGTGCCCGTATTACACAGGAATTTTAACTTAACTAATTTCCTACCTCTCTACCTGAGATGGCTGCCTTCAGTTTCTTCTTGTAAGCATGTGCATTTAATGAACTCTTTGTAACTTATGCATTTAAAAGTGTAAAGGTACAAACAACACGTAACAAGATCAGCTTTTTACCATTTCTTTCAGCTTGGAGCTGTAGTTAACAGCTATTATAATAATTTATTGATGAGCTTTGTTATACCATACCAAAATCATAACCAAAACACTAATGCAAGATAATAAAAACTAAAAATTATGGAATTTTTTTCTACAGTTCTGTACACTAGAGAATTAAAAATCAAGAAACTGTGTATGAAATATTTATATTATTGTCTTCTAGACTGAACCACCTATCAGAACACAGGATGTCATTATGCAGAATACCATGAAATGAATTTTCACTGCTGTGAAGGTCTCAAATCTAATGTGTATGAAATACTGGATTTGAGGTTTTCACAGCTCTGACTGAAGAATGTACCCTGGAATCTAATGTTATGTAGTCCAATGAAAGACAACCGACGTTTCAGAGGAACTCATCAACTTCATCTTCAGGGTCGAAGTGTAAGCCAAACATGACACCAGTATAAAGCGCGCAGAAAATACTGTTTGTTATTTCAGCAGTTACAAATATGGTGTCAAGCATTCAAATCTTTGAGGTTATAACTGATAAATTTGACACGATCTGTTAGATCTTGTGGTCTTCTCAACGAACTTAATAACTCCTCTCCATCATCACTAAGTTCATACTAAAATTAATTTATTCTTTCCAAAAATAATCTAACAGAGCACAGGAAATCTTCCATTTTTGTAACAGAAAACATGAATAAATTATACAGTGTGTACTTTGTGGTGTTTCTGCCAACCAGTAGACCTCTCAACTCATGCTGAAGAGAATCAATATAAACAAATAAATTTAACACACAGTAACCAACCAGAATCTAACTGATATTAGCCACACATTTCCAGGATGAAAATGAAGAGTTCCCAGTGTACAAATCCAAAGATGTGCCATTTTCTTGGAGGAGCCCAAAGGTAAATTTTATTTCTTCTCTTCCTCCATTTGCATCTCTTTCCTTCCTCAGTCTTCATTTCTTTGATTGATTCTATGGGAAGATGATCATGAAGTATATTATGAGTCTTTTATGACCTATACCTAGATCTATACCCAGAAGAGTTGTATGAGTGTTTCTGAAAGGCAGTCTCTACATCAGCCTAACTGGTGTCTCCTCCTCCTCAACAACAACAGCACCTCCATATTCCCTTAATTATCACCTTCTCATATCATTTCTACATCTTTTGGATCAGGGACAGAACCACCTCCATTTCTTTCTGTCTAAATAGAGCCTCTACCCAACTCTTTCAAACTCTTTTGCCTCATTCAGGCATAAACTTCTATGCTTTCTTCCTCCTTCCTAGTCATACTGATTTATTAGAAAGTATTACTATACCATTCGCTTCACATGTTTAAATCATTATAGTCTCTTCTGTTTCAATTAATGTCTTTTAATTATGATTTTGTTTTGATTAATGTTATTCTTGTTTCTATCTCAAGAGCTGGGCTAGCTTAGTCAGTATAGCGATCAACGGTGAGATGCACAGCTAAGGTTCAACTGCCTGCAGGAGCAAGATTTTTCTCTTTTCCATAGCATTTGCAAAGGCTCTGGGGCCCACCCAGCCCCCTATCCAGTGGGTAAAGTGACAGGGGTGAAGCTGACCACTCATATCCAGCTAGTGCCAAGAGCAAGAGTGGTGGACCTTTGTTCCTGCATATATCTTCATATCATGGTGCTTAATTAGTTAAGTCCAGGGGCAACTTTACCTTTCACCTTGTTTATACCTCTCCTTGCTTTGCCTTCAGTACTCTTCATCATTACCATTCAAACCTACGGCTTGAAACTTATTCATCTCTCTTGTTCATTGTTTATGTCTGCTGCATATGGAAATATTTGCTTATAATAGCTTCTTCTTCATGCAGCAAGTTTACAACTTGTTCATACCTTCCAACCTTCTCTCTCCCTCCCTCTCCCTCCTTATATACTGGATAATTATTTCGAAATGTTATAAGATTCCAATGCCTGTAATTGTTGTAGACTTTTTCTCTCTAGTCTTGGACCTTTTTCCTCATTCCTCATCATATGTTTCAGTTTCCTCAGGAAAATCATTTTCTACACTTTAGACCTTGAATACTTTTATAGTTGTCACAACCAAACTTTCACGTCCATATGGCAATACTGAAACATATATAATTTAATTTTAACAGATGTTTAGTTCCCTCTTCATTTCTGGGATGCCAATCTAATAGAATTTCATAGAACTGCTGTATCTTTCACGATTTTATTCGTGAATAATATTGCAACCAATATCATTAAAGTTGTTTAAAAGTAAAGTTGTCCCTGTGCTTAACTAATGAAGCACTACTCCAATAAGGCGTATGTGGGAGTGGATGTATACATCCACATTTTCTTGACCTCGGTACTAGCTGGAGGTGAGTAGTCAGCTTCACTCCACGGCCGCTTTACCCCCAGGAAAGGAGCCCCCCAGAACCCACTGGATAGGAGGTTGGGTGGACCCCAGAGCCAGTCTGGACGATGTGAAGAAGAGGGAATTCTTGATCCTACTGAGACTTGAACTCCGACCCCGTGGTCATCCAGCCCATAGCCAGTTGCTATACCAACTACGCTATCCTGGCTTCTGTTACAGTGGTTTACTTCGTGCAAAATGTCTTCAACCACCTTAATATGTTTAATGTTTTAGATTATATTCTTCAGGGGCACGTGGTAGCAGAGTTGGTTGAAGCACTATGCTAAAAGCTGGAAGGTTGTGCGTTTGAGTCTGATTATAATTTTTCAATATACCCAATCCTTCCAGCTGCATTATGGCCCTGGGGTCGACTCAACCTGTGACAGAAATGAGTACCAGGAATCTTCCTGGTGGTAAAGGGTGGCCGGCGCTTGAGGCTGATAACCTCTGGGAGCCGATTGTCTAAAGAAAATGTGGGAGCCTTGATGTCTCACAACCCTATGGGACTCCACAGCCTGTTACAGGGATAGCTTTACCTTTACCTGTTCTTTGAGCTCTCTCTCTCTTCATGTTGTAAAATCATCTGTTCACTGTCAGCAGAAATGTTGCAAGCACTGCCTATGACAGTACCAGCACAGTTAAATTTTTGACATGCACTTATTCTTCATGCAGGATATCAATACTGATGCTGTGCTACACACCGATGGAAGAACAAGATTCCAGCAGGGAGAGTTAGGTAAGCCTGACAACCACACTGCAGTGCAGCAAATTTTATGAGTGAATCAGCCTCCACTCAAATGCATCTGTAATATGTTTAAAACTGAATAACAGATTTGTATAAGTGGTTGATTTAATGTTCTTTCACAGCCATAACAATACATTGAGTACAGCTTGTTGCTTCTCAAAGCAACAACTCACAACTGAACTGCAGCAGTCCTCTAACTCACTCACTAACTCACAAAACAACTCACTGCAACAGCTTACTGGCTCTGCTTATAACCTCTCGGCATGGACTGCACAGGAAACACCAGTCCTCTGTTGCTGTTTATGGACTGCTGCCTAGTAATGGCTGTTGTATATTTGCTTATTTCACAATATTTGCCTGGCAATGGGCCTACATGCCACAGTATTGTATAGTACATACTACAAGTGCAGAAATATGACTTTTGGTGAACAGTTTTTTCATCTTAACACTGACAAAGCTCAGTCTATTCTGATGTTTCTATATAATGTGTTAAAAAAACAATATTAATGTAGGAGGGCGAGTTGTTTCGTTAGAAATCTTGAAAATATTACTCTGGTAATTCATAAGACCTCTTACCATTTGTGGACCCTTGTGAGTAATGTCGTTTCATCACAATTTTACAACTGCGATAAACATAATCTAGTTCAGTGTTTGAATCATTATCAAATCACCTCCTTCATCACATGGTTCCAATGTGAAAAAGATTTAATAAAATATTTTTGGAAGATTCTGGAGCTTGCACCAACATGGCTACAACAAACTTGTTGATAATGATTACCTTTTTTGTTTCATTTATATTTATTTTTGTAACCAGACAATCTCCCCCTGCCTCCCAAATATATATATATACAGGTGACAACAAAATATAAATTAATCCACTTGAATTTTTTTGTTTTCTGCTCATATAATTTTTGTTCTGAGTTGTATTTTTGGGGTTGGCTGATTTAAATATTCCTGTCACAATCAAGTAAGCATTAAATCTGACCTCAGCATGGTACAGAGGAATTAATTGCTTCCCTTTTGTGGCCTTATTACCTCTTGTTCATACAGCAGGATGCTGGCTAGTGGCCAGTTTCTCTCAGGGAGGGCAGTAACATGCTACCATATGATGTGATTGGAGGTTTGTCCATACTCAATAACTGTCAACAGTAGAGCCACTTTGCTCATCTGATGTTGTAGTGCCTACTGAAAATGGTGTCTTCCAATATCAAGGACATTCCACACTGATGTGACAAATTCTGTAACACAATGAAGTTCACTGTCTATGGTTTCTAGAATAACATTTCAGAATTTGACTTGTTAAGTGTGTATTACTTTTGTAAATTTTCTGTTACAAGTTTTCCTGTAGATAAAAATATCATGCATTCTTATCTGAGGAATGTGAATGTTTCACTCCTTCCCTGATTATTCCTTAACTGGAAACAGCCCATAGGTGGCAGTAAATTTTCTGTTACAAGTTTTCCTGTAGATAAAAATATCATGCATTCTTATCTGAGGAATGTGAATGTTTCACTCCTTCCCTGATTATTCCTTAACTGGAAACAGCCCATATAGGTGGCAGTAAATTTTCTGTTATGTTTGCTGGTGCACTGTACGGCTTTAATTCTCATTACTGCAATTCACTGCACAAAGATTACCCATAGGTAACTGATTGCCACAACAAATATGCTGATTGCTCTTCTTATCATGGCTATAGCCACTTGTTCTTCATAGTGGAATGCATGTAATTCTTGTCTGTGAGAATGCTCTTGCAGGTCTGAGAGTACCATTTTCAGCACACATCATATTATCAGATAAGTCAAGTGTTCTTATTTTTGACCATTCATGTGACCTCCAATTAGGTTGTGCAGTAGCATGTTGTCACCCTGTCTGAGAGAAGACCCCCCACTCTGACATCATGCTCCACAAACAGATGGTAAGAAGTCCAGTGCAGAGCAATTGATCTCTGAATATGCAGAATAGTTTAAAGGACTTCTGGGGAAAAAAATAAGGAAAAGGAAGAAAGAAAAGAAAGGAAAAAGACAAGATGAGTGAAAAACTTTATTTTTCAATAATAGTACTGTGTACATATACAGCATGGACTTCTGACATGATTTGGACAGTACATGAGATAGGTACTGCACAGTATATTGTATCCAGAAGTGAGGGAGATGAACTCCTAACACTGCAGTAAGGTTGAACTCCATTGCAGGGGACTGCTGGCTGGTGGCTGCTATTGAAAGTCTCAGACATCAAGTCAACCAGGAGTCTTTCAATGAGGTCGTTCAAGCACATGGCAATGACCTGGAGTTCAGGTGGGGAATTAAGTCATAATAATTTCGGAGGTGGTCAAAATTTGGATCCATTAATTCAACTACAGTGAATCTAACCTACTTTTAGCTTGCTTTCATTGCCTTATTAGGATGGTATTATCATCTCTGTTCCTGTACTCTTCTCAATCACTTTTGAACCAATTGATAGAGCTCCTGAAATTTGATCTGACCATCTTGCCACTAGAGACCATTTCATTTGTACTTCCTAATTTTCTGCTGTAAACAATACCAGAGTGGGGTGCTGAAATTTTGTGTTATAATAGATCTATAGAAAATATGCAACTTCTTGAAGATACGTTTTTTCCTCAATGTAAAACAGCATTATGTTAGCTGCATAGTGTCTCTATTTACTTTTTTATTTGGTGGTGATTCTTAATGAACTAATGGAGTTAAGAACATGAAATCTGACATTGAGGTAGTGCCTAAAACGTCCTGGAAATTCTATGAAACATTTTAAATGTGTTCGCAGGTATAAACATGGCAAAAGTAAGAATATTTCATGTTATGATATGAAAATTTAATTTACTCAGAATCTGTGCTTCCAAAAACTGCTAACAGAAATGAATCAGCAAATCATATAATCAATTTATGATCCTGCTAGCATGTACCATATAGAGTTAAGCATTTTAAAGACATCATAAGCTCTTCCCACAAGAATTTTATAGACAAGTGGTGGAACAAAATTCTTATATTCTTCATAAATGTGACTGAAAGCCAGGCTGACAAGTTACAGATAAAATTCCACAATTTTACATTACCGTATTTGTGTTTCTGTAACCAAATGAGTCCAGTTGTGCAAAGTGGTTGTGAAAGTCAAAATGAGCTTATATTAGTGGTAACGTAAAGGTAGAGTTGTCCCTGTGCCATGGAAACGTGGAGGAGTGGAGGTGTAGCTCCACCGTTTTTCACCTCTGCTCTAGATGGAGGTGAGTGATCAGCCTCATGCCCCTGCTGCTTTACCCCCGGTAACAATTGGATAGGCTGGGTGGGCTTCAGAGCTGGCCTGGACACTGCTGGGAATAGAACCTAGGCCATCCAACCCATAGTCCATGACTATACCGACTGAGCTGTCTCGACTCCCATGTTACTGGTTACTGAAATGAATTCCATATTCTGGTTCTTGTCTAATGGCTGAAATAACATGTAAGGATGCTTCAGTCAGTCCAGAACTGACTTCTATCATAATGTGTAACGTTCTTGAAAGGAACTGGCAAGTCTCTGGTAAGAGACCGCAGAAGTTAAGCATTACTGATATGAGAACTCAACATGATCATGAACTAGAAGCATCTGCCCACAGTCCCCATAACCCTTTTTTCTATGATCGAGCCATGTGGTTTCCTCCGTCTTCCTTGAAACAACCTGCCCATATCAAGCCGCCATTTGTGAGTCCATTGTCTAGAAAATGTGGGAGCCTCAATATCTTACAACCCTATGGACCTACAAGGCCCATACTTTCGTATATTTTGCAACAGGTTACATGCATATACATTCTCAGTTATTTCCACATATGTGAATATTTTTAGGTGGTAAACTCAGTAAGAGATTGTTTGCTTCATTCATTATTATAATAATTTTCAAATCAACCGTAAGTGTAAGAAGATCTGGGATAGTGTACTCAATATAGCGACTGGCTATAGGATGGACTACCGAGGAATCGGAGTTCGAATCCCAGTAGGGTCAAGAATTTTTTCTTCTCCATGTCATCCAGACTGGCTCTGGCATTCACCGAACCTCCTATCCAATTGGTACCGTGGGCTCTTTCCCCAGGGTTAAAGCGACAGGGGCATGAAGCTGACCACTCACATCCGGCTAGTGCCAAGGTCAAGATAATGTGGATCTATACATCCACTCCCCCATACGCCTTCATGGTGCAGTGCTTAATTAGTTAAGCAGAGGGACAACTTTACTTTTTTTACAATATGTGTAAGTATTGTAATTAGAATATACAAAACTATAATTTTGCTGGTGGTTCTGTATGGGTGTGAAACTTGGTCTCTGACATTAAGGGAGGAACATAGACTGAGGGTGTTTGAGAACAGGGTGTTGAGGAGAATATTTGGACCGACAAGGGATAAAGTGACAGGAGACTTGAGAAAACTGCATAATGAGGAGCTTCATAACTTGTACTCTTCTCCAAGTATAATTAGAATGATCAAGTCAAGGAGTATGAGGTGGGCAGGGCATGTAGCACGAATGGGGGAGAAAAGGAATGCATATAGGATATTGGTGGGAACGTCCGAAGGAAAGAAACCACTAGGAAGACAAAGGCGTAGGTGGGTGAACAATATTCAAATGGATCTTAGAGAGATAAGATGGGATGGTATGGATTGGATTGATCTGGCTGAGGATAGGGACCAGTGGAGGGCTCTTGTGAACACTGTAATGAACCTTCAGGTTCCATAAAATGCTGGGAAATTCTTGAGTAGCTGCAGAATTGGCTTCTCCTCAAGAAGGGCTCAGTAAGTAAGTAAGTGTAAGTATTGATGCACAACAGATCACTGTGGTCGCAGTGCAAGGGCCAAGAAGGCCTACCCCTTATACATTCATTCATACATTCAAGTGTAAGTACTGAAATATAATGCAAGGAAACATAACAGGTTCTGGAATGCGGGCACATACCAGCAAAGTGTGATGCTAGTCAATGATGCAGTACCTACCAGAGATGGGGCTCTTGTTTTCATACGTAATACAGAGGGCAATGAGTACTGGGGGATCCTCCTTGAGAAGGCTTATGCAAAGTGAGTACATTCACTCATCCTCAGAATGGACTGTGATCTCTCTGTTTCTTGTTTTATTTAATGACGCTTTCAGCTAAATGTACTGCATAATGTCAAATGTCAGGGTGATTCTGGGTGATAAATGTGGTAGAAAGCATTTATGGTCAAATTCTACAAATTCTATGCACATATCCTAGAATTGTAAGTCATGTTGGGTTGTAACGTCTCAAATCCTCTTTCCTTTAATGCTGCTAGTGATCTAGTCATTATATCAAGTGAGGAGGAAATGTTACTGTCTAATTATAGATAGTCCATATGATAAATTCATAGCAATATAACCACTGCATCTACCTCTACCTAATTTAAGATGGTCCAGACGATTGGTTCATGACAGCATGACCACTAATCTCAGAAGAGTGACTCATGGCAACTTAATCATTGCATCTGGACTAGAGGAAATGCTGCTGCCTAATTTCAGATCGTCCAGACCACTGATTAATGGCAACATAACCATTGTTTATGGTGTGGTCGAATGCCATTCCCGATTGCAGAACAGTGTGTGAAGATGGTGTAACTATAACAACTGGTGTGGAGGAAATGCCATGGCTCATTTTAAGGTGCTCCATATGACTGATTTATGGCAGTATAACCATTGCATTGATGTGAAGGTAATGCCACTCCTAATTCCAGAAGGGTGATTCAAGACAATGTGACAATTGTGACCAGTGCGCAGGTAACGCTGCTAATCATTCTCAAGAGATTCATTCATGGCAATATATCCACTGCACCTGATGGAGACGTAATGCCAGTACCCAATTCAGAAGAATGATTTCACACAGCATAACCATTACAACTGGCATGGAAGTAATGCCAATGCCTATTTCCCGGAGAGAAAGTCATGGAAGTGAAACTTTTACATTTTATATCAACAGCTGGGTTAGTTACATGTCATTGTGTTAGTCTTGATTTGGCAATAAATTCTAATTCAGCCAACCAAAATACCAAGGCACAGTACTTTGTTTACAGGTGGGTTGGGTCCTATGAAGGATTGGAAGGAGGTTTCTGGACAGATGCAATCCAGAGCTTCACAGGGGGAGTGGTGGAAAGAATCAAGCTTCGGGAAGGCAACATACCAGAAAATCTGTTTGAAATCATGCTAAACTCTTACCGTAGCGGCTCCTTCCTCTGCTGTATTAAGAAGGTTTGTCTCTGTCACACGTTGCAAATGTAAAAATAATAATTTTGTGTTTGACATTAAATTTGTTTTAACTGTCTTTTGACATATAGCTAAGAAATTAAGAAAAGTACATAATGAGCAGCTTCGCAATTTGTGCTTGGGATTACTAGTTCCTGGACTTTGCCCATTGTCTAGTGTTCTGAAAGAACCTCTTCTTTCAGATTAATAGACAATGTACAATGTACAGAAATTCAGTAATCCAAAGTATAATAAACCATCGTCAGAACTTCTTAAACTGGTTCATAATTTGTATTTGGCAGTATTTGTTAAGGTGATCAAATTAAAAAGAACAGAATTAGAACATGTAAGATGCATGATAGAGACAGAACCACAATTAAAATTTGGGGTGGAAAATTCTACAGGAAGACACAATTATTTATTGGAGTCCATTGTAACACAACAACGTAACGGTCAAGGTTAATATGACCTTAGCTACATGTTTCGGCTTGTGGGAACATCCCACATTATCACGCATTTCTGCAACGCTCGCTCTTCACATCACTTTTCACCATCACGCGCGCTAACCAATCAGATTGCTTCAAACGATCGCATTTATACTACGCTCGGTGCTAGCCCGCGTCTACACCATTACGCGCGCTAGCCAATCAATTCTTGCTCCTCACTTTCGAGTTTGGCTCCGCCCCACCGACCAGCGTATAAAAAGGAGCGACCCCAGAATCGAGTTATGCAGTTTAATTCAGTTCATCAGACAGCAAGCAACTTCAGCCAGCAGGCTTCGTCGCCAGCGCTCGGTCTTCGGATACATCGGCAGGCTGCGCCGGGCACGACTGCCTCGGCCCTCCAGCGCTCTCACACCCGACTCACTGGGGCACAGCGCCTGGACTCGCCGGTGGTCGTGTTACGGTCCGACCCACTGGGCCTCTGGCGTAGCCACTGCCTCATGGCTCCTACAACCGCGCTCGACTAGCCTTTCACCACCGGCAGCAACCTCCGCCATTTGCCGCGCCGCGATCAAGCAACCTCCAGCCACGGCCTAGCCTTTCCACTAGCCTTTCACCGCAGCAAGCCTTTCTCCTTACCGGCGCGCGCCGCGCTACCTCACCGGCAAATCATCTCAGCAACCACGGTCCTTTTCAGGGCCAACAAATTGTTCCGAAGAAGTGGGTTGTCATCGGAGTAATGACAAGACTACACACTCGTTGACAAGAGAGAGCCCCACAGGCTTTTGAAGCCATCATCAGGCAAAATACCTGATTACTATATTTACACACTATTGAACTGCAATTTCATTGTGATAGTAAAGCTGGATACTTGATAATTGTTACATTATAAAATACAAGGTATAAAAATACAATGAATTATAAACTTACTAAAAAACGAAAGTTATGGAATAAAATATGGTTAAAAATTCTCCATGTGATATTATTATTATCATCAGCTCTTGTCACAGGTTTATTTCCTGGTATTCCTTTTCTTGAACCAGTGATGCACCTCACCACTCAGGCTTCAAGCTTCACACTGTAGCACTTTCCGTAGTATGTGTGATGTTCATTTATTCATTCATTCATTTATTTCAAATTCAGTAAATCCAAAACATAGGTTGAAATACAACCCTGGATATAGAACATGTCAATAATAATATTAAAATAAGTTCCAAACATTGAAACAGTCAAGATAAACAATAAAAACGATATAAAATAGTACACAGTGTA